CTTTGAGATATTTATGTCTCTAAAAATTGTTAGGTAGTTTCTCTCTCTAAAATTTGATATAGTTTTATCTCTCTAAAGCTTAAGATTTGAGATTGTTTCTCTCTCTCTCTCTCTAAAATTTGATACAGTTTCTCTCTTTGAAATTTTGAGATGCTATCTCTAAAACTTTATATTTGAGATAGACTCTCTCTAAAAATTTGATATAGTTTATTTAATGTACTTTCTCTCTCTAGAATTTTATATAGTTTCTCTCTCTAAAACTTTAAATTTGAAATAATTTGCGTCCTTAAAAATTTGGAGATAGTTATCTCTCTAAAAAAAAAATTTAAGTGCTCTCTCTCTCTAAAATTGGATATAGTTTCTTTCTCTCTCAAATTTCAACATACTTTCTTTCTCTAAAAGTTAAAATTTGATACAGTTTGTTTCTCTAAAATTTTTGAGATCGTTTTTTTCTTTAAAAAATTTCAAGTACTTTCTCTATCTAAAATTTTTATACCTGCCGAATGTGCTCTATGTTTCGGGTTGAAGGTTCTGACCATTGGGATCCACGGGGCTTATAAATTAAAAAACAAAGAGGTTTTAGTATGGAAATGAAATGGTGGAAAAGTTAAGCGATTTTCCAAAATTTAATTTCCATATAATTTTATTATCCTAGCGATTGAGCAAAACAAAGGGTGGGTTTCAATAATGTCCAAAATCTTAAAAATCCATATGCCCAAACGGGACCTAAAGGAAAAGATAGCGGTAGGGGAAGGAATCTCCTTTGGAAGGTTGTTTTAAACTGAATTTGAGTGGGCCTTTTTTGGATAATCATGGGGGTCTTTGTACAGATAATGGAGGTAATGTTATTTTTTTTGTTATTCAGGCCCTTGTAGTTGTGTGACTAATAACTTGCATCTCTTTTGCAAGGTATTATCATCCTAAAGGATTCCCAATTTAGTGCTTGTTTGGAGATTGAGGGTGACTTGCTAAATGTGATTAATTCGTGCAATAATGTATCTAGATTCTAAACCATCTTATGGATGCAAATTTTGGATATTGCATCAAATTAGAGCCCACCCAAAAAAATTCACTAGAAGAGGTTGTTTTGAATTTTGATAATCAAATATTACAAATTGATCATCTCGACATCAAGATGTATTGACATGAGAAAAAAAAATTAGATTTCAAGTTTTAGAAATAGTGTCTTGTAACACATTTTTGAGCTGTCAATTTTAGGGATTTTTAAGTTTTTATAGATATGCTTGATCTGCATTATTTTTTGAACTTTAAATTTTATAATTAAAGATGAAAAATATATTTTAAAATTATCACAAAGATTTTCAATATTAAAACTATATTTTTTTATATTTACGATTTATTTTGATGGTTTAGGGCGTCAGCTCTATACAAACGGTACCTTTTATATAACTTCTATTTGATTTCATAAAATTTAGTACTCTTGCAAAAAAATAAAAAAATAAAAAAAAATAAAAAATAAAAAAGAAAAAAAGAAAGAAAAAGTAGAAAAAGATGCCGATGTTATTGATTGTCACATTGATGGAGACTTGTTTGAAGTAAACATGGTGATTGGAGCTTCCACTTGTTAATTTCTCTCTGTCCACTCATCAGTCATCTATGAGATC